GAAAGGAAGGGGGAAAAAAAGACAAAGAATGGCCAAGACAGAAATGGCCTGCACAACCCCAAAGGGTCCGATTGGGGAAGTGCGGGATCCTGCTACCTGCAAGCTTGGTTGGCGCAATACCAGATTTGTACTTGGACAGGACAAATTGGAACAGGTAGCTTTGGCATTGGGAGCCAAGAGGGACACCGGACTCGACCGTTGCCACTCACCCGGCGCCCCATGCTGGTTGATGAGTGGTGAAAGGGTAAGCAGAGGTGAAGAGATGGTAGGCCAGTGGGCTCAGCACCCGGTGATCTCCCTTACAGGCTCAGGGGGGTGGTGCATCCACTTGCAGGCTCGCTTAACCATCCCAGGCGGCCGTTGCATTAGCATTAGCATTTGCGCGGCAGAGCAAAACCTGCTTTCGATGGAGCTCAATCGTCTAATGTGACATCGGAATATCAGGCCAGGTAGGAGAGGTGAGAGGCAGCCAGCCCGTTGCTCGTACGTTAGCCGCACCGTATATCCAATCTCGCATCGCTCCCAATGCAATTCCCCATTTCAGCCCTTGAGCTCGTCTTAGCTATGATCCCACTCCTGTTCTAGCGGAGCAGGTTCCTCTTCGGAGGCTTTTTTATCTGCGAACTACCTCGTTACTCAGTACAATGAATATGTGACACTCCTGTTGGCGTCAACTTTATCCTTGCTGTGCTCTGCAGTGGTTTTTTTTTTTTTTTTTTTTTCCCGGTCCCCTTTCGTCCCATCTGCAGTCTACTGCTGTACCACCATTTATCTTGGGACGGAGGGGCAAAATACGGTACATGCACTCGTTCGGCAGATTTACCCACTAGCCTTCGTTGCTGAGTGGACTACGCGCAGGCGTTTGCAAGAGCTGAACCCACATAGTCAGATCGTGCCTGACGGGATTCCCATGGTAATTACATCTTCATAGTACGGAGTAGTACTAACTTCAATGCACATGTGTTAATAGTAGATGCTGTAGTAGTCGCTCCGAGCCCTGTCTAGGTACCTAGACATTAACTCCGAGTTCATCCCATCTCATTTTAATAAAAGATCAATCATCCTTTGTGCCTTTGGCCAGTTCCGAAGATCAAGCTCGGCGTGGGCAACTAATCTTTTTTTACTGTTTTTTTTTTTTTAAGTGAGATCATTTACCGTTCTCCACCGTTTTGGGCGAAGCGATGAACGGATTTCTTTACCGTAGACATACTAGGTAGCTTGTCTTAAGCTAGTCGGTGTCCGCCGCTGACCGGGACTCGACTCGATACGTCTTCGAATGCTACATCAACAAGGCCTTATCGCAGCCATGCAAAAGATGCAGCGCGTCTTGCATAACGAGGATTGCCTTTTTAGTTTCAATTCACCGCTTTCTATCACGGAGCTGCCGTTCTCTTGTTCCCTGTGTTTGATCTGGGTGAGGAGGGGGTTTGAGACTTTGGAGCCTCCAGGGCTCCAAAGCCTCCTGTAGAGAGGGGCTGGGCTGTTTTGTTCCTGCAGGTCCTGCAAGCTATCCCATCAATATCATAGAGCACAGATTACACACTCCGTGTGATCTTGGACGCATGCCTATCACCTGCACGGTACCGAACATGCTTTGAGTAACTTACTATGCTTGTGAACTGTCTTCTCTATTATTACTGTGCATACTCCGCGTTATAATTCTCGCTCACATGCCCCAGCGCTTTGGGCGGCGGAACCGTCTCGAAATAGAGACCGCGAGCCTGTCGCGGAGCTTAGTTATGCACCCAGTTCGGCCAGGTCGGATCCGCCAACGGAATTTTTTCTTCTTCTTCTTCCATCCTTCTGCTCTTCTTTTCCTTGTACCCAGCTAGCGGCGGATGGGGTTGCCCGCAGGCCGTTTGATCTGCTACCCCAGTCGTTGTCTACTAAGCTCCCTGAAGCTCGTTGCTACCTGGACAATCTGCGGGGGCACGCATTGCCGGCCAGCAATCAGTAAACTGGTCTTTCCGATGCAATTTCCATCCATTCTGGGATTGCCCCCATGCATATCCCTGACCGTTTCAACATAATTGTTGACATACGATGCGGGTAGCCGTATTACTTGATGCTTAGCAAAAGAGATGTCTACCGTTGCGCATAACTGCCGAGCCTCTGAGCACTACATCTCTGACCCAGGCTGGCTGAAGCATGTGCTTGGGAAGCCTCGGCAGCAATAGATCCCTTGACACTTCAGACAAGGATCAAACATGACGGGAACAGCAGCTCAGGTGAGCAGCTCCAGGGGGGCCTGTCACCAACACATTGTCTACTTCACTACTCGCATCACTTAGTTGCGTCGTAGTTTTTAAATCCGCTCCCATTTGCCGAGATCAGATGGCCAAGACGCGACGGGCGGATAGCAGTAGGGTCAGTTCATCCATTCACCGTCTGACTAATTCAGACGAATCTGCTACGGGTTACATGTAGCTGCGAGACAATAGCTTGTGAACAAGTCTGATGAGCAGACTGTAATCCAGGACAAAAGTACGTGTGTCAATTGTCACCATTCCATTCTATCGCAAAAGAGGACAAGCGTGACGCCATATGAGTACCAGAAATTACCATCTATTGTCAGTGAGCAATAAAAGCCCCGATTTGCGGTGTGTTTTAAAACGAAGCTTTTTAGAGTTTGGGGGGATATCTGTCAACCCCAAAACGACGCTAATTTAAAGCACGGCCAAATGAAAGAGAAAGCCAAAGGAAGAGCAAAAAGGCACTAACGAATCGGATCTGCGGCTCACACGTTTGAGCGAATAAACTGATTTCGTCTGTAGACCACATAACTTGATACATAAAGTAGTTCTAAACGGGCATTTTATTCAATACCAGAATAAAGGGGCCATGTAGGGTAGGAAAGGAGGAATCGGCCCGTATGCAGCATATTATCCCCCCTTCTCTGAGTAGCCCACGCTGTGTCCCATCCTTCGTCTCACGAAGGACGCAGTTTGACATATTTCGTGTGGGTTCCACTGGCCACGACGGGCCCCGCGCTTCCGTCGATGACCTTGGAGATGACGACCTTGGTGAAGGCGACGGAGCCGCCGACCTTCTCTGCGGTGCCCTCGATCTCTATCTCGTCGCCCTCGCCGGCGGACGACAGGTATCTCACGTGGATGTCGACGGAAACGCCCGTCTTCTCGCGCAAGTCCCACGTCGCGATGGCCATGCCCCCGGCCCAGTCGACAATGGTTGCTGAGACGCTGCCGTGGATGCCACCGCCCGAGTTGATGTGGTTCTTGGTGAGCCTTAATCTAGCCCTGACACAGCCCTTTGTGGCTGAGTGAATCTTGACGTCTGACAGCAGGAAATTGTAGATGGCGGACCGGGGGAGCATGGTCGCTACCAGACCCTCAATGTGAGCCTTGATATGGTCGTCGTCAGCGCCCTCCATCTTGATTGGCACACCCTGCTTGGCTTTCTTTCTGGCGTCGACTGCTCCCAATCGTAAAATTTCTTGCTTAATTTTTGACGTATCTGTAGATGCAAGGGGGGAAAACCGCCCAGATCCGCCCCCGGATATCATAGATGCTCAAGCGCCGTTACTTGCAGCTGCCCAGGACTGTCAGAGATCCACTGGTCGGTGCCATTTGATGGCGGCTCTGCACTGCTTGCACTCACACTCACATGCACCATCGCAAAGCACTTCCGCGCGTCACTCTAGTCTACCTTGTAAATGACTATTCCAAAACACACTTTATTTTATTTTAAATTAATCTCATTTTGAGCCTATATTTTCCCATTTCTCGTAATCTGGGAAGTACCGGTCTTGTATCCTGTTCGCGTAGTCCAATACCGTCGGAAATTGTCTTACCACCTTCTGCGAGTCCGGTGCCGCGGTGCAGACCAAGACCGACACGATGAACCCGAACAGCGTGGTGTCCGCCTCAGTCGGGCCCTCCCCGCCCATCACCCAGTACGGCTGCCGCTCTTCTTTGTTCTTGCTGCTGCTGCTGCTGCTGCTGCGGCTGCTGTCATCGGCTGTCGAGCGCGCCGCGACCACCAGCTGGTTGACTGCTTCCCAGATCTCCAGCCTGAACGCCGCGATCTCCTCCGCTGAGTACCGCCCGGTGCCCTGGCCGTGAAGCGTGGCCACCGCGCTCCTGTGAACCATCAGGCCGACGAGCACCCTGACGGGGTACGGAAGCGCCTGGAAAATATGGTCGCGCATGGTGTAGTAGTTCTGCGTCCATCGCTCCCACGTCTAGAAAATATCTGGTATTAGCGAACGGTGTTTCCACATTGAACTTTATTTATTAACTTGGAAGTTTTACTTTCACTTACATGATAGAAATACAGCTTGTCCTCTAACAGCGCTCGGAGCGCCATATCCTGCGCCCGCTCTGCCGGGGACATCTTCCCATTCAAGTCAGGCAGCACATCCCATTCGGTCAAAGTCTTGACGATGAGCGAGGAGTCGCTGAGCTGCGTGCACACCTCGCCCTGGGCGGCGGCTGCCGCGCTGCGGTACTCGATGTAGGGGATCTTGCCCTTGGGCGCCGTCTTGGGCGAGCCCACGTCGGTCGCGTACTTGACGCCGGCGAAGCGGAGCCGCGCCTCCAGCTTGACGACGAACGGGGACCAGACGTGTTTACCCGCGTCCTTCCAGCCGCGGAAGACGGTGATTTCGGGGTTGCTGGGCTCTCTCGCCATCTGAAAGGTAAAAGATTAATGGTTTGTCGATTAGGTTGCTGGACCGCGCAATCACACCAATGAGATCAAAGCTAGATACACTCCTCACTCAAGCAGCTCCAAGTAGTAAATAATTGTATACAATATGAGTTTTCATTTACTCCATGCAAAGGTCTTGAATCTAAATAATTGAAGCACAGCTGCCCTCGAGCTTTTCTAATGCGCGGCGTGTTAGTCGAACACTGGGTCAAGGCAGCCACGCGCACTTTTGGAAATGTCCGTTCCGCACCGCACGCCGGACCGGAGGTCTCAAGACCTAAAATAAGCAGCGGAAAAATCAATAACCCGGAAAGGATCAACATCCGACCCAGGGCGCAGTGGCAGAGTGGTCTAATGCGCAAGACTAGAATTACCAGCTATCTTGTTCCTTCGGGAGCGTCTGTTCGAATCAGGCCTGCGTCGGTATATTTTTTTTTACTTGATTTAGTATCCTTCAGGGTCTCTTTTTGGGTGTCTCTTCTTTTTGAGGCATGCAGAGAGACTTTGGCTTCCTTGGAAGGGTCTTTTCTGAGTATTCAAGACATCAAATAGTCTGAACGCCAACAAAGCGTGTCCGGCAAAAGGGTTTGCAGGTTATATATTCAGATCGCGAAAACTAAGGGACTGGCTCATTGAGGAAACAAATGACACACAGTGTAAGTGTGAGATGGCTCGTAGATTGGTCAAAAAACTTGCCTTGTGTGCGAGAATAGTGACTGCAGTTATTGTCTTTAATATCTAGTGGAAGCACTGGTAGATCCGAGACGGCATGGCAATAGTCGGTAGCTATCTTCGTATATCATTGCCGTAGACTTGCTTCCAGATTCGCACTGGCTTCTAGGGCACAAATATCCTTGTTTTAATGATCCCGAATGATTACCACGTGGCTATCTGCAGAAGTCGACAGTGAGGTTTATTAATCGGAGACGCAATACGCTCAGAACCCTGTTGTTCTACACTTGATAATAAATCTCACACTGGTTCTAGAATGACATTGACTGTAATTTCACCTGAACAACTGTGTTCCAGTCACGAATCAGCACAAAGCAGTGCATTTATTGCAGACTATATGGCACATGACATCTAACCCTAAGAATACCTAAAGAGACCTTTAGGGGCGGAGATTTACGATTCGTACTCGCGGTTTGAAGAAGGTTTGCGAACAAGTGATATAAACTAATCAATGTACGAGTATCTCTTCGATTTCAATTCATCGTGCAACACTTTGACTCGCTGTATTTTTGTCTCTCTATTCTGGTTCACAAATTGATATATATATTTCTAGATCCTTACTTCAGTTATACACATGTGCGATTGCAGCCAGGAGACAAACGTTACGAGAAATGCTAACATGCTCCAGATTATGAAAATCATTCAAAATATTTTCTCGAGTAGACATGACGAGCGCATATATACTTTGGCCATTTTCATGTCTCAACATTCTAGTGGCGTCCTCTGGATACTTAAACCTATACCGCCATTTCGACTTCACGATCACTACCACTTCATATTCATATTCTTTTCCTTTCATTGTGCTCTTTGGGTCGGGTCCAATTTGCTAAACGGCCAAAATAATTCAAAGTGTAAAAAAGAATTCATAGCTGTGTGAAATAACTACTCCCAAAGAGGAGATCAGACCCGCCGGCGGATTGAGATAGTAGTGTCTAGACCCTCTTCCTGACCCGCCGCCCACTTAGGGCTTGTTAACGAGATTCGAACTTCACCAAATACCTGTTCTCAGCAGGATTAGCTCAGCTGGTTAGAGCGTCGTACTAATATACATACCACTTGGTATTATAATTGGTAATGCGAAGGTCATGAGTTCAAGCCTCATATTCTGTAATTGTTTCTTTTTTGGGAGGTTCGCGGAGACTTTTAACTGCGGCCCCAAATATCCTTGTTTTTTTCCCCCTTGTCACTCCTCGGCATTACATTAACATATGGGACATGATGGAAAATTTCATCTCTGTTCTTCTCAGCGTCCACTTTTCTCAGTTAGAGTCCGCTTCGTGTCAAGTATTTATCTTACCAGCAGTGGAGTGTACAAGATCACAGTTGCATGAGGAGAATGGCAGATAGCATAAAGTCAATAAATTCAAGTATTCGTACACACCCTTCAAGGCAACCCTATAACGCCGTGATTCCGTCTATCTTGAATTGTGTTGCCACGCGCCTCCAGGGTCAGCCTGCCCTAGGCCTGGCAATGTCATCCGATGTACCATGTATGCAGTGTACTACTATACACATAATATAACATCCAGATGCACACTCCTCAAAAGTAGACGACTAGCCAGCCGTATCACCACGCGTAATACGTGTGGTTTGCCTCAACTAAGAACGTGCGCTGGCCAACAGATCTCATAGGATCAAGGGCATATCATAGTACTATACCCGAATGGTTTTTTCCCCTGCATACTCCTGTGTCGATTCACGTAGAAGTCTGCCTCTAAGCAAAATAGCTCTTCCAAAGCACGCCTTCAAGATCTTCCAATTGCTCAGAAGTAAAGTACTGATAACTAGCTGTTAGCATTCCACAAACACCATTTAATTCATCTGATGGAGGGGCCGTAGGGTGAACATACCTTCTGATCGACTCCCCAGCTATCTTGCCTGGTTTTCTTGAACTCCGACAAAATTCCCTTTGTTGCTTTTCCCACGACTCCAGGGTCGCTAGCAGCCTTTCTCGCGAGTAACGCCAACACTTCTGGCATCCATGCCGGTGGCGGTGTAGCATAAGGAAACGCTTCGATGAGCGCACCTAAACCAAGAACCGCAGCATGTCTTCGCACTATTTGCTGAGTTACGCTGACGGGTGTATCTGTCCCCGGTGTCCTCTTTTTAGGCATCGGGTTTCTTTCAAGCTGGTTCTCGAACCTAGATTTGAGCGATTCGATGACCGGGTTTCTGATCGCGGCAGGCGAGCATCGGATCATGCCAGCGAGTGTGGCACCGGCTACGGTCCGAACCTCGAGCTGCGGGTCAGAGAGCATGTCACCCACAGCGTCGAAGAGAAGCTCGCGTTGTGTCTTATCCGTCAGGAATAGTCGACGGAAATAGATAACTTGCATGTTGACCAAGGCACGGAGTCGCTGGTGCCAGAAGGCAGAATTCCTCCCCAGTCGAACCAGAGCTGCAATGAAGGCCTCGTCTTCGCCAGTACGGAAGGGGATGTTCGGCAAATGTCGGTATACATGATAAGCATGTCGCATAAGTTCGGGGTCCTCCTTGATATCCATCATATGGAGCAACTGGTCGATAAATGGTTCCGGGAAGAATGATATCAGCTGTGTGCACTCCTGCGATGACAGTGTGTTGTCGAGCCACGTCAAGACAGTCTTGGATCCCGACGTGTACGGAGATGGTGTCTGCTGTCCAGGTGTCCGTTCCTTTCTCCACACTTCTAGACGATCAAAAACTTCCTTGATGGTAGCTTTGAACTCATCTGTGGGCTGGTATGGTCGGATGCCGATGGACCCCTCAGCTTTATTCTTTTCAAGCAGCACTGACACATTTTCAAAAGACTCATGGTAGCGTGTGCGGTATATGGCGGCGATGACTCGGCCGATAGCCTCTCTCACCGTCTTATATGGGTGGTCAAGATGCGCCATGAAGTCCTGCAGTATGGGCTGTTCCTTGCGGAAATGCCAGCCATAGTCGTTGATCAGAATCTCCAGTAGTTGAACCTTGGAAGACTCTTTGAACGCTGCGTTAGACGACATATCAAGGCGGAACGAGCTGAGGCTCTCAATGAGCTGGTGGGCGCGACGAGGATCCTTCCCATCAATGACAAAATGCAAGCATGTGCTCCAGTACACCAGGTTTTCAGGAGTCAAGTTGTCCGCAAATACCTGAAGCATCAGCGGTTGGGCGAAGCTCCACGAGCGTTCTCTCATCTCTACTGGATCGTCCGCAGATCCTGCGAGCAATGCCCCGACAATCTCTGCGGTTGCACGATGCTGATGCTTGTCACTGCCATCACCGTAAATCTCCATGGTCAATGCCTTGACATCCTCAAAGGTAACTTCTGTTTGACCATAATTCACCAGGTCAAACACGTGCATGAGCAAGATAACATCCTGACTTCTGAACCTATCAGAGGAAGAGTCTCGCGGCTCCTGCTTCATGTAATCGAAGTACTTTGCCAACCAATCCCTGGTAATGATGGCGCCAATCTGCTTCCTGGCGGCCGCTTCTAGTTCGTCGTAGGCATCAAACCGATTCGGCTTTGCCCGGAAAGCAGTGAATTGCTTCCCCCAGACGAGCCAGCCAACGTGATCAGCATCGATATAGTATTCAGCATCCTCTGGTTGGTTGAACTGGTCCAAGAAATTCGCGGTGAATTTGTCGTCGCTTTTCGTTACTGGTATGATCATCTTGTTAGAATCGTTCTCCTTCTCCTCGAGGAAATCCTTGTAAGAGTGGTTATAGACGGCACGTTGATCGATGGCTGTAAATATGCTCGAGAACGCCGTCATGTACCCTGTCCGGAGTCCTGGGTGAGGGTCGTTGGTTCCTCTGACAACAAGATCAATGAACTGAGAAGGAGCAATGTTCTCAAAACGCAGGCATAGGTTGGTAGAAAAGAGCGCGCAGCGGCTGGCAGTCTTCCAGTGCGACTCCCTCGCTATCTCAACCAACTCAAGACCGAGCTCCATCTTCTTTGCCTCTACCTTCTTTCGCCTTCCAATGATGAAGGCATTGCGGGACTCGATAGCTCGCGAACAATCCTCAGGGGGCTTGATGGAGTCGATGATGGAATGATCAAGCAAAATCATCAACTCCAAGCGTTTCCCAAACTCGATCAACGGGTAGAGAGCGGTGGACCCGAGATTTTGAATCGATGTCTTATCGACGCCAGCAGTTTTGATGTACATTCTCATCAAATCAGGTGCGAATCTCCAGTCCTTCATCACGGTCTTAAGGAGACTAGTGAATAGCAAAGTGTACATGGAACCTTTGATACGATCATGATCCATCTCGTCTAGCGCCTTTTGGAACCTCGCCAGAATCACGGGGATCACCAGCGGACGACCTCCGATCAGAACCTTCAAAGACGCATCTTGCGCTCCCTGGGCAATTCTCCGCACATCAGCGTACAGAGATGTGCAAGACTCTGCCAAATCGAGCAATAATTGCTTGTCTAATTCGCTCTTTCTACGAACTGAAGCATTGTGCTTCATCCGTTGCAACTGATATGCATCGGCCCGCTTGATTAGCAACGGTCGAGGATAGACCTTCCGCAAACTGCAGATCTTGAAAGGTCCAATGTCCTGCTTGTACAGTCTGACCAAGCGTTCCAATGGATGTGCAGATCTCTCGAATCCTACATCAGTGATCCATGTACGGTATGTGGTATAGAGTGCTGTAAAGCAAGGGACATCGTCCTCTTGATGAGCATTGAGAAATGCGTGGGTGCTGGAGAGGAGGCGTCCGATCTCGTCTCGGAGATCATGGATACGAGCATAGAGCGGATCCTCAGGAGCCAGAAGATAACCACTCTGGTACTTGTACTGCGGGCGTGTCTCATCATCATCCGCAGCCTCAGCCAGAGGATCTTCTTCCTCGTCAGTATCCTTCATTTCCTCGTCGCTGTCAGAATCGGTGACACCGTTCACGTGGCCATTGGTCTCACCCGAGGCCCGCTTCGGATCGAACAAGACCGATACACCCGAGATGGCTAAACGCAGCTGACTGAGCTGGCGAGAGACCTCATCAGACCATTCCTTATTCTTACCCTTTCTGCTCACAGGCGGATTGTCACTCATTAGAGACTGCAATCTCTGCATTGCTCCGTTGGCCTGGGCTTCAAAAAGCCCAACCGCAAATTGAATTTCTTCAGGCACGGGCCGGTGCCATCTAATGGTGAGATCGGCAGGGGTGGTAACCTGGCCCCAGTCACTTACGCTTAAGCCCCTCTTAAATACTTCAGGCTCATACAAAGCGTTATCGACGGGGTAGGTGTGTGTCAAATTCAGCAATAGATGATGAACGTAGTTGCTTATGTGAAGAGTAGGAAGCCCACGGCACTTTTCCTGCATGTACTGTGCAATGTCAAAGAGTTCCCTCTTGTATTTGAGCACTTCAGCGCCAACGTGCACAACGCACATGCTCAGAATGCTGACGTGCCACACCAGGGCTCTATCCCGTGGGAGAATCTCTGTGCCGCTGCTTCTGTCGGAGGCAGCGCCGTTGTAGTCAATTTCATTGCGAATGTTGACGATCAGCATAGGTACAAAGACCTTCAAGGTCTTCTCAGGATCAACCTTGCAGAGCGCGTTGCAGGTCCACGCCATACTGTCCCTGGCTTGGTGCACAACGTGAGTTGACACGAATGCGGCCAGCTTCTCCAAGGCCACGTCGAAAAGCTCCGGGGAAAGAGACGCAAATAACGGCGTGAGAGCCGCTGGCAAAGTGTTGATGATATTGTCTTCAGGCGATCCAGACCGAACATGAGACGCATCGGGTAAGTTTTCAAGTAGCGTGAAAACTTTGCCCAACAGCGCCAAGATGAATTCACCAAACCCTGCGGTCGAAGAGCGGACGATATTGGCCTCGTCCTCGTCGGAAAGCTCATTTTGATAGTCGATCTTGATGTCCTGGCCTTCTCGTTCCATGCGCTCCATCTCTCCTTGCACCCATTGCACAGCCAGACTAGTATCATGGATACCCTCGTTCTCGTTCGTCAGGTTCACAAAGGGTATACTGTACGCCACCGTCTGGATCAAGTTGAGAGTGTATTGGGTCTTGTTCAAGTCATTGGCATCAATTCCCGGCAACGCAAGCGCCAGCAGTGCCGTGATGTGACAGCGGAAACCTTTCTGTCGCGACATGATGTTTGCAAT